TTATCTTATTTGCAAAAACTTACGAGAAGAAACATATTATAATATTATCTTCTTAATTTATCAGCACTATTTGACTCCTAAAACATTTGGATTATTGTCGACTCGAGTGCAAATTAGAATGAATTATTCTCGTCGTAACAATGATTTGTTACAAGTTTAGAACTGTCAAAATCCAAACCTAATTTGCAGTAGTTTATAGTGTTGAAAAAATAAAGTGATTAATCATATCGATTTATTTTCCTATAGTAATCAGTGAATGTAATTCTTCTGACAAAATCCAGTGTATAACAGAAGTTAATTAAAAAAACATTAAAAATTTTTTAATAATAATGGTTTGAATTTTTGGTCAGGTTTTAATTCAAAAAATGAAAAACATTAAAAGCATATTTTAATTTGACTTCGAATTTGTACCATACAGCTAAATTGTTATTTTTTTATATTTCTTCAAAATAAATAGAAGAATTAAATGAGAAAAGTGATATAACATAAAAGATATAAAAGAAAATAGTATAAAATCCCTTTCTTTAAAACTTCACTTTTACTTCAATTTTGAAAATAACTATCTCCGACCGGTTTTAGTAAAATAAATGGTTTATAGATATTACAGCTGTCAAAACACTTAAAACATAAAAAACCAAAAATTTATAAGTCAGGTCAGAAAACATTTATTTAAAAAAATTTATATATAAATAAAATGATAGAAATTGAACATTACATCGATCAATATTCTGCTGCGATTTATTGTGATAGATCACCATACTGCTTACCATTATTTGTTTTTGGACAAATGTTATCATTCGTTTTAATGAAATAATCGTTACTTTTTATCGCAGAAATAATAAAGCTCGCAATAAATTGATACATAATTAAGAAATTTATTCACATTAAAAGAATAATTAAGAAAAATATTACAGTCCTCAAGGGCGAATTTTAATCAATTTAGTCTTTTGAATAAATTAAAAAATTCAAAAGACTAAATTGATTAAAATTGCGTACCAATAACATCGCAGCACTCTCATTCGCCCTTCAGAACTGTAATTTTTTGAACCTTAAGAGTCCGTTGAAGATCACAATTTGTATATTTTTTAAGAAAAATACTTTTCCTAAAAAACATTCAATATTCATTTCGTCTTCACAGAAGTCATCTGAGAAATTTTGGATTGAGCAAAATTATATAACATATACAGAGTGTCCCATTTTAAATAATCCAGCCAAATATCTCGAAAACTAAATCCAGTAGACAAAAATGTTTCAGACAAAAGTTGTTTGACTCGAAGGGGGACATAAGATGGTGCCATCGATTTGACCTTGGATAGTCCTCTGAAGGTCACGTGAAGGTCACCTTTAATTTTTTAAATGGAACCCCTTATTTCTCATGGCACATTCTTACAGCTCATCTCGAGCTGTATACAGCTCATCTTTCCAAAACACTATAATTAAGTTACTTTTCGTTAAGTACTAGTTAAGTTATAACAGTGAAAAAGAATAAATATTATCTAAACTTTAAAGAATAAATATTAATATTTCTAAAAATGATGTTATTTATTTCTTTATGAATTATAAGAAATAGGGTTCTTAATAAAGTAAATGGTTGTATGTGCTATGATTATCACTGTGTAATTACTTTACACAATTTAATATTTTAATAATAAATTTTTGTACGTTAAATTCATAAATATAAAAGTTATTATTTGTAAATGTAATAATTAATTATTTGACGCCATTATATGTATATTATGTGTATTATAGGAAAACATAAGGAAGGTCAACGTGAAAGAAAATCAAAAAATGACCTTCTGGGGGTGAATTATATTCTTCTGTGCAAGAGAGGGAACGTTTCGCTGTCCTTCAACAAAGCTGTAAACGCATTCGTGTTCTCCATCACGCACTGCAGCGCGAACATCGGTTTACATATCGAGTTATTGCAGTATGTATTCGCGCCCGTAGTTATTGGGGAGTGTATACAATGTGTGCGCGTGCATATAATGCGGCAGCAACATAGTGCCATGTGGCATCAATCATAGAATTTCCTGCAGGTGAAAGGCCAGTCAGTTCCCTCTGCGTGAATTCGCACCTCTCCTTTCCTCTTTCTCTCTTATTCTCTCTCTCTCTCTCTCTCTCTCTCTCTCTCTCTCTCTCTCTCTCTCTCTCTCTCTCTCATGCCTCCCTCTATCTCTTGTTTTCTAGATTTGACTATCAAAATTCTCTATCAAAATTCAGCAAGCTTTGAGTCTTGAAAAAAAACGGAAATAGAAAATGGCGAGTATAACGGAAATAACAAGAAAGAGAGATTGAATTTTTATTTAGATACAATATATATATTTGTGGGAAGGATAACAAATTTTTGAATAAGAGAATATCTATGGAAAGTTTATAAAAATAGAATGTTGTACCAAAATAAAAAGTTAACGTATTAATCTAATTATTAAATATATTTAGAGAAAGATGATAATATATTTTTTAAATTATAAATATGTATTTAAACATAGATACATATAATTTTTATTGCATTGTATATCATTCATTTATAATATATACACGAATAATACAACGTGGACAAAGAGCAAACATTTGTATCACCTCTGCACTGGATATAACGTTACTTCAATTGCACTCACGAAATGTTTAATATTCCATCGTAAAAAATATGATATTACAATGACATTAATATTGTTTTGATTGTTCCATCGAAAGTTTTTCACATTTTGAAATTCTATAAACGATTTAGCTTATCAGTCTAATGCTGGAATACTAGAACAACAATAAAAAGACCAGTCTCCCTTAATTACAACATTCTAAAAAAATATAGGTATGGATTCAACGTACGTTAATATACATATTATAAATACTAATATGATGTTATCATTATGTTGGTGTTAAATTGCTTATTAAATCCATACTCATATTTTTTAAAGTATGATTATTAAGGCAGAACTAATAGTCTTTATTACTGTACTAGTATTCCAGCATTAGGAAGATAAGCTAAATCGCTCGTAAAATTCTATTTAAATCTACACCGTGTTGGTGTTTATGTCAACATCAATGCTGTAGGATTATATAAACACCTGGCATAGCATAAAATCTACCATTTTTTAAATCCACCCATGTTTTTTAAAGTATGATTAATATGAACTACATAGTGGACGATGGTTAACGATGTACTGCGTATCCGTAGATAAAATGTGAAATAAATAATGAACAAAGATATATGATCAAACGAGCCGAAAAATATAAAAGAGGTGGCTTTTATTTTTAAGCAAGATATTAATTTAATACTAGCACAAAAATGTAACGACTGTAATTTTATACGATTGTTAATGTAGAAAATATTAAAATCTTACAAACACACAAAATTCTACAAAATACTTTTTGCAATTTTTAAATGTGTTGCAATTCTTAAACAAGTATGTTAAATAATACAGGAAAAATAATGACACGTCATCTTTAAAGCACGAAGCGCCAGTAGATCGCACCGACAGTTCTGCGCAATTTCGTAACGCGCTTATGCACCACATAATTATACATATATGAACGCTTATACGAATAAAAAAATAATGTTAACAGATACAAACGCAATATTAAATCTTTTATTTATGCATTTATTTGTGCACATTATAGTCATTATAGTAGGTATAGAAATTAAATTTTGTAAATATATACATATATATATATAAATATATACATCTGATCGCAAAATTAAAATACCTTTCATATTTTGTAAGCTTCATATTATTTTGCAGAATATTTACATTGTTTAAACATACCCGCTAAAATCGTATATTATAATATATTATTTTTAGTTGGAAAACGGATATTTGATGCAGCCGAGCAAAATATTATATATCTATAAAAAAAGCTCATATCTATTGAAAAGAGCAAAAGTCCCTTTTTACTTTGTAGGTCATGATGAAACTTTATCAGAATATTTGGCTCTAATACATAGGTAGCGATGGAGAGCGATCCTTTGATCAATGAAAGAAGACCAATATAATGCGTCAATGATTCGATAACGAGCCATTGTTCAACATCTATTATTCATTGCGTTTTATATATCAAGGAAGACCGAAAAAATTAAACTTTAAATAACAAAATATTTTATTGTCAGAGTAATAAGAAGATCAAAACACAATGATAAACATATTTTCAACAATGCCAACATCTTTTAAAAAATGAAAACAACAATTATCGTTAATATTTCGCAATTGTCTTTTGCTATCTATAAATAACCCAAAGTTAAAAATAAAAAATTAATTAAATAGAGAGAGAGAGAGAGAGAGGAATGACTGCATATGTGCTTCCATTTCTTAATCACGTCTGAATGAATTACTTGCAAGTAAGAGAAGCTGATGGCAGCACGTTCTTGGTCTTCGGCAACCAGCAACGATTACTGCCGCAGTCAAACCAGAGCAGACTGACTCCCTCTGTCGACTTTAGTTACGTTACCAACAGAGGCGATGAAATCAATGATCGCAAAAGATGAAAGGCGGCACGTTGCAGATTTTACAATGGCTCCGTATAAATGACGACATCTAGGTCCACCTGCACAATACAATAGTCAATATTGCAATGTTATGGGGAAAATTAATTCTTAAATGACACTATACTTCTAATAAAAAAGCGAAGAAAATCATAACTGTTCAGTAATTTACTGTACTATAATTCTCTCCGTTTTTTATTGTCATTTAAGATTCATGTTATTTTCAAAAATCAAAGATTATACAGATTTTTTATATTACAATCTAAGAAAAATAAATAATAATAATCAAGACATTATATATTATTATAATTATCGTCCTATTTATTAATTATAATTCTCCTTTTTTACTATTACAATATAGCAAAACAAGTATCGAGATTTTGCTTGCGATTTGAATATCGTTCTCCGTCTCGTTTAAACATCGATACCGATTTCGACGCATCGCTGCAACAATTCATCGATACCATTTTCTACCTCGACTATTATCCCTAGGTCCAAGTGACTACGAGAATGGTGACAGCGTATGGTAGCAGCTGCCGTGAATGGACGGCCAGAGTGCAACATGGCGGACTGCGAGTCGGAGGTGCACCGCTTGCCAGCCGTGAACCAGGACAGCAGTACGAGAAACGTAGCGGCGACTGTGACAATGGTGAACAACAATGCGCGCGTGCCACAGCATCCGCTGGCTGCTGGGCCAGACAAGGACCCGGTCGGCCAAGGGCCGCGGTGCGTAACGATCTACAAGACGGAGACGGGCTTCGGGTTCAACGTACGCGGTCAGGTCAGCGAGGGTGGACAACTGCGAAGCATCAACGGCCAGTTGTACGCACCGCTGCAGCACGTCAGCGCGGTGCTCCCGCGAGGTGCTGCCGAGAAGGCCGGCGTCCGCAAGGGCGATCGTATCCTAGAAGTGTGAGTAGAAGGATCGTCCCTTCCACACCCGCGTTCCCGATCCGCACTCACCTCTTGGTGAACCATCAGAAGCGCTCGACTCCGACAGCCGCCTTGACGAATACGCGATGTGCTACGACGCGGCTCCGATTAGAAGAACGTTCTATCTCAAATTACACCAATTTGAATTGGAGCAATTCATAACTGGAGTCTCCGAAGAATCAAACGCGGTACGCCGCATTGGTCTTGACGCGTTTCGGAATACTCGAACAAACGTTCGATGAAGGATGTATTTACGCGGAAGTACTAAATACGAGACTGAGATGACAAAAAATTGCAAAATAACGTAAGAAACAAAGATGTATAGATCATCCTGTTTTGCCACTCCAAAATAAAATCTAAGTTTAATTTATGTTGTCCAACATGGGTTACAAATTATTAAAGGTTCAACTGTTATTTATTTTTTATGTTTAATTCAATATCTATACGGAAAAAAATGTTCAACTGTCTAATTGAAAATAATCTTGTTTATTTAACAAGAGTACAACACACCTGTTCCATTAATACTGTCATTAAATCGACAAGATTATTTTCAGTTAGACTGCTGTTGAATAAATGTTATTAATACTGCGTCAATTTTTTCCATGTATGAAATTTGTTTCTGCTTTATGTACATTATTCGTATTGTGCTTGTCATCGTATACAGTGGTATCAGAAACGTAGCACATTTTTCTTAACAAGTTGATCCAAGACACAAATTTTTCATATCGAATACAAATGATTGGGTAAACTTATAGTGATAGAAACGATAGTTTGATTCTGAACTCTTATAAATACTATTTAATACTTTTAAAAATTATTTGTTATTTTTATAACATAATATTTATTTTCTTTGTCGAGAAAAAGTTATATTATACTTTAATTTTAATTAATAATTTGTAATTTTAGTAATTAACTATAAAAAAGAAAAGAAAAAGAAATGTATAGTAAATAAAACTCAATAGAACTATAATCTGATAGTTCATAAAAAATTAATAATTCTGAATAATAATTATAATATAACCTATTCCGTTAAATCGCGTTAAACTTAAATATGAAGAAAACTTAAAATTTTTGAGTGACGCTATATATATATGTTTAAACTGTATAATATTATCCGTTCATATATATATATATATATATATACACATATATGTATATATATATATATATAAACGAATAATATTATACAGTTTAAACATTTTTTGCAACTCATGCGTTGTTCGTGTAATGATATTTAAATGTCTTTCAATTTATGAAACACGATTACGAGTGGATCTTCGTTTTTCCTTTGGACAATCGGAATTGTGTGTTTCGCTCCTGCGATCAATGCTATAAACTAGGCATATCCAAAACTTATGTTTATTTAAAATACTCTGGAAATACATTAATCGCTCGCTAGCTATATTCATCAAGGCTACATATTCATCAAGGATTAGTTGCTTATATAGCGTCGCTTGGCAACTAGCCCTGTTTGGTATCGTATGTGGCTTCTTAAGGGTTACAGTCCTAACTAGCGCGCAGATATCAAGGCAGATTTAGATAATCTCCTAATGCACTCTCATCCCGATGCACTCAGAAATCCTGTAGAATATTAAAACAATCTTCCTTGAATTATACAGAGAATATTTTCCCGTAAATCATCTCTTTTTTAAATCTTTTTTTAGAAGCAGGGTCTGACAGAACTCTGTGACTCAGTTGAGGATTTTATCGCATTCTACGTCAGGGATATCGATTGGTCGAAATATTTATCGTGGGGCTTATCAGAAAATGCAGGGGCGTCCCAAAGATACAAATTACACATTGCGCGTAACTTTTAGAAAGGATAATTGGAGAAGATTAATCACCCTACCCGACTCTGCGGCGAGGTAGAGTTCCTAGAGAAGAGTACATGAGAAAAGCACACGATACACATACAGTATTACACATACGAGTATGCCCTTTGCAAATTCTGATGTAAGAACGATAAAAACAACCGTGCACGATGCGTAACGAATACATTTAATCTGTTTGGCGCCTCGTTTGCAAGGTTTCACTAATACGACATTTGTAAAATCTGTCGTGCTCGCAAGTTTCAGATCGGTTCTCATCGTAGTTCTGATTAATCAATTATTTCAAAAAATTCCTCACTATTTATTAACTGGTTAGTTGCCACTAGGAAAAGCCAATCTTTGGGAAACTAAATGTGCGAAATATATCTTCAAGTCTCATCTCGCCAGTGTCATTTATCACGGTTTAGTCCGACAAGTAATAAATACGCAGCAGGGTTCAACATTATTTCCCTCGACTATGTTGTTAAATTCATTATGTCAAATTATATTTAATTTCAGTTACTTCTAATTATTTCTATGAGTCGTTATTGCTCCTACTCAATTTGCCATTAATTTAATTAAAACAGTGGAGTTAAACAATTTAAAGCAAGAAAATGTATTAAATTTGATTCAAATCTAATTCATCGTTTACTGAACTACATATGTTAATGTGGAATTGTTATTTTGGAGACACAGAAATGAATTGATTACGTTTTGATAAATGATGAAAGTTAAAAATAACAGAGTGTTATTTAACTCAAAAGATTGGATTACTATTGCTTCTTTGACATCTAATCGTGCAGCTTTAACATTGAAAAGATCGAGTTACTGAATTATGATAAATACGATGAGCGAACATCTTTATCGTCACGAATTAACTGTTAGTTAACCAACTGTCTAAACTTGCTAGGTGCATTTACCGTTTCCGTTGATGAGGTCATTAGCGCCATTGAATTTGCATACCGCATACCCGATCATTAGCCACCCTGTGCGCGCGGTAATCGTGTTTCATTTAATTAAAAGCTAATTTGCTCAAAATATTACGTATCGCTCGGTTGGATTTATTTGCATAAAGTTTTATTTAATGATGTAGGTACATCCCGCAGCGGCTCATCCTTGATAAATTCGATTACTATGACGTTATAAGTGAACGCGGAGCTAAAGCTATATGTAGCATTGAAAGCCGATGATGACACTTCGTATTGATCTCGAGAAATATACTTTTCACGTGATACTTTAGATATGATGTTTTAGATATGACGCATATCGCGATGTCCAGATTAAATTAAGGGCTATACATCGCGCAATCTTTATTTTGATAACAATGGAATTACTTACAATCGAGGAAAATTAACCACTTGATACTATCGATGTGTTGCAAACGTCTCATATTTAACAATAGTCAAAACGATAAAGCTTAATCTACAATGTGCTCTACTTTGCTTCCTGTTTGTTACTTTTTATTGCTTTTCCTCTCTTTGCGACCGTTTTATCGACAATTGTATTTTTTATCATGTATTCCTTGCTTCTTCTGCTCTAAGATTCTACGTATTGTATAACTTTAACAACAGTGTCGCTATCGTCATATTGTCGTTGAGAAACTTTTTTATCACATCTTAATAATATTGTATAACGACACTGTCGTTAAGAAATACAGAATCCTATTGTTGAAGTTCATACATTTTTATATCGGGCGATAAAAATGAAGAAACAGAATAAAACGCAAAAAAGCAAGAGGTAAAAAGTAGTAAAAAGCAAAAAAAAACAGGAATTAGCATAGAAGAGCATATTTTAGATTAGGTATAAATCTAAAGTTTATTTATCACGATTTCGCACGTCGACGATCAACGGCAAGTATATTCACGACCCTCGAAGGGCCAAGGTTCCCATAAACTCCGCGCAGTTCAAGGACGCGTATCTTGCGAGGGACCAGTCTGTATTACAACTACATCGTTTTGCGCAGTTTCTCATCTTGCAAAATTGAAAGATCTTTTTTCCTCCGCTACTGTCGGCGGCAACCTACCGATGCTTGAAGGAGATGGATTGGTGGATGACCCGCCAAATATTCTCGCTCCATCACCTCAAATATTTTTTTTTTCCCGTTAATCACGGCGTATATTATCGCGTGAAGCCGATCGAAACTCTTGCTTTCACTCGTCCAATTTTGCGGTTTCTACCGTCTATATTTTACGACCGGCTTCTGCCTACTGGTATTCGTCGCTCGCAGCGTAATCCGATATGTTAAAGGATTTTTTTAAATGGCAAGTCTCGAAACTTTGGTCAATGTTTTTTTTTTAGTTTTTACCTTTATGTATTCTAGCGTTTTATTAAAGATTTTTTTATGTTCCGTGATGTCTTACATAAGAGTTTTAACAATAATCACACGAGTTAGACACTTTTTTTTTTATCTAATCAAATGAAATAAATTGAAGTTGAGATTATCTTAAGATGCATAGATTAACATAAAGTTATTAATATCCTTCTAAGATTAATATCCTTTTATTCTTTTGTATATTTCTTTTTGTCTCACGTTACATTATCATGCTAACATTCTTAAGAGGCTTTATATGATTTCCACAAAGTTATTTTACGCCTGCATTAGGCCCGTATTACACTACGGATTGAAGATTAAAGATTCGAATTAGAGATTTAAATTCGATCAGTCAGATAATTTTAACACGTTCGTATTAGACAAGAATAAATTAATTAAGAAAAATAAATCTACTTTGAATCAAAGCAGATCTTACAGTGCTCATCAAATTTTAGAGTGAATTTATATAAATACATATTCAATTCTATAAACGCGCACCGAAATCTTTTTCAGTCTTGAAACACAATTATGAACAGAAGCAATAATATCACATTGACAAGCAATTTAATAATTTTTTATGCTAATAAGTATGCGTTAAAAAGAAATCAATAATTTTATGTTAATCTATGCATCTTAAAATAATCTTAACTGTAATATATTTCAGTCTAGTTAGATAAATTCTAATCTCTAATTTGCAATCTTGAATGCATAAACTATGTTTCAAAATTCACTGTCAGCGCTAAAAATTTATAATATAGTTTACGTTATGTGCACAATTTTCAACAGTGCGGCAGTGAATTTTGGTACCTACATATTAACTATCAATTATATGTAGTGTGACACGGAATTTATATAGGTTTTTTGCTGAAACGTTTCTTGATCATCGAGGAAATCATACTCACCTATAGTACACAGACCTACAAGGAATATTTTAAAGATATCCAGAGAAAGTTCTACGTCTATAACAAGAACGTCTTCAGAACGTTCCTCGGATAAAATGTGCTCTGTAGGTAGCAATATAAAAACAACTGTCTCAATCAAAAGTTAAATTAAACAATGGACATATCGTAGTGTTGATCGGTGAACTCGAAGGTTTGACGATGATTCTTGTTTTAACGAGCGACGATAAGTGAATATTACATAAAAGGAGCCGCTCTCACTGCATGCATCCGATAAAACGAACAGTCATTCATTCGGAATTGCGTCAATCATTAAACTCCATTAGAAGTTCCATTAACTTAGGCGCGAATCATTACATCTTACACGCTTTGTTATCTCGCTCTACCAGAATTAGCGGTTATAGCCGTGCTTGACGAATGAGTTTCGGATAGTAAGGTGGTCACGGTGCATTTGTAATCAGCTCGCGGAGAAGGAAGCGATGCGCGTCTCGCCGGACAACACGCGCATTTGAATGCTTATAAATACCGTGTGTCTGTGTACTCGCGAGAAAGCCCACACACTCGCCCACTGAGGCGCATTATCTTTTAACAGATTAACATACATATAGCGCTGTTATTGACCGATCGCCCGATCTAATTTAGGCTGAAAAATATCTTATATTTCTGTGTCATATGCAGGACTTTGATACGTGCACTGCTAAAAAGAAGAGTTTATATTTGACGAATTCGGCGTGTGCCATGCACTTAATGCTGCTCGCGTTAATTCTTCATTATAATTCTAGCTTCAACACTTAGGGGCGGGACCACACGGTCTTGCATAAATGAATAATGTATAAGAAAATGAACCAATCAAAGTCCTACATTTCCTTTCTATCCACGAAATAAAAAATTCTGATTAGTTGATTTTTTTATGCCTTGTGCGTTATGCAAGTATCTGGTGCTCTTGCTTTTATTGTTAGTACGTTCTACGATCAATTTAAGAAAACTTTTGTAATAATAATAATAATAATAACTTTATTGCCTGAGCACTTACAAATTAGATTTTAGAGATGCATAAAATTATAAAAATAAAACAAATGGCACAGCTACGTAGAAAAAAATCACAGATGAAAACTTTACTTATTCAGCAAATCTACATGCATAATGTTATGGACAGTCAGTTTTCTATGTTGAAATAGCAAAGTTGACAGCTGAATAACATTAGCGATTTGTTAAACCATCAAATCGTCTAGTTTATAGATGTTGAATTTGCATAATACAGCTTTGCTGTACCACTTAATTTATTTTTTTTCATGTAGGAAATGGCGAGACGATAGCGATACAAGGCCTAATCAAAGAAATTTAAATGACTAGATACTATTAAGTAAGAACAAGAGAGAGCGCAACAGATTTTACGAAAAATGAAACAAGCTATACCTTTCTATGATGATATTTAATATAGTAGCGATTAAATTGTAATAAAATGTTTTGAAATGTCATTAAATTAGGTAATCAAAGAAAGCGATAAGCGGGGCAATCGATGATCCCGAGTCGGAGGTCCAGAAGATAGATAACGTCTTACAATAGGATCCCACCCGGTACACGCGATAGCGAAGTGTATAAAGTGCGCGACGCGCCTTCCCTTGCCTGCAGACGTGGAAATCCGTGACGGCAACATTCGTCGACCTCCGGGGAGAGTCGTGCCTCCGTGTGCAGACCAATCGTGACGGGCCTTTCACCGATAGGAATTCGAAACTCGTGATAAAAAAAAAGGCCGATTACCGGTATCCTATTCCCTTTCGACTGGGTGGAACTGGCGGTCGAGAGCCGCCGACAACGTGCGTGAGCCAGATTGACTGGATCGCGACCTCGTCGAAGGCCCGCCTGTTGCTCCTTTGTCGCGGAGGATCGCCGATGGACCGGATGTGCGTTGTACGAGTCGCAAGAAGCGCCCTGCAGATCGTCATTCACTTGTGAATCTCTCGCGACAGCCCGGTGAAAACGTTACGCGCAGCTTAGCTCGTGATTAGCGCACTATCACGCCGATAAGAGTACACTGCGTGAAATATGTTAACGTGTTACATGACCGCGTTGCAATGCGAGTGGATCGAGAATCGCAAACGGTGGAATTCCACCGGTGTGCCGCACTCACAATTGAGGTCGGTTAAAATTGTAAATCGCGTCTATCAAGATGTATCGATGGCGAGGGACGTATCACGCGAGATAATAAGTTAATAACGACACTTCTATTTGCAGGAACAACGTCAATGTCGAAGGCGCCACTCACAAGCAGGTGGTGGATCTGATCAAATCAGGCGGCGATGTTCTCACCCTGACCGTCATTTCCGTGACGCCGCAGGAAGCGGAGAGATTGGAGCCCTGCGAAGATCTGAGGTAAGAACAATATTTGAACGTTTCCGACTTTTATTCTATTTCGATATAAGAGGATAAATTCTACTTAATACAGCTGGATACGTTTTTCGAGCGATCTTATGTACCGTAGCGATTATCTCATCAATATAAAATTTCAAATAATAGCAACCTTGATGATTATAACATTTTATCTAGATTGATCGATTAAAACACACATGTATGTATGTGCTTTTAATCGATATATATTAATAGGTATATACAGGGTGTCCTAAAACTGACGATAAATAGTTAAAGTCACATTCTTTGTAATATATATTTTAAAATGAAAAGTTTAATATAAAAATGCCGCGAGATTATAATAGTTTTCAAATGGAAAAAGTATAAAAGCCACGACTGACGAGGCTAGAATTTCGCGCATTCAGAAATAGCAAGATGATCAGTGTGAAGGTATTGAATTTTATATTATCAAAAAACCATGAGATCCAATAAGAAAGTATTTTCACATTTATTATCTTCCTAATTAGGGAATCTATTATGGAAATGTTCGGAATTATTCAACTATTCCCTAGATTTCTATTATGTTTGTCTAGGGAAAACAGAATAATTCCGACTGAAATTTTCCATATTAGGCACATACCCCGAACGCGCGAAATACTAGCTGTCATTCGTAATTCTTAAACTTTTCTCATTTGAAAACTATCATAACCTCGGTATTTTCGTATTAAATTTCATCTTAAAATATTTAAAAGAATCTGTCTTTAAAATATTTAGCGTGAATCTTGAGACATCCTATATATATCGTGTACACGACAGATGCACGTACGAGTATACTAATGTATTACATTTTTGTTTAGCTACGCATCGGTAGATTACAGCGAGAAGCGATCTCTGCCCATCAGCGTCCCGGATTATCACGTCCGCGAGAGGAAGCACGAGCGTTATGTAGTCTTCAACGTCCACATGGCTGGCAGGCACTTGTGCTCGCGCCGATATCGGGAATTCGCGGCGTTGCATATGGCATTGAAGAAGGAGTTCATAGGATTCAATTTCCCGAAATTACCGGGAAAATGGCCATTCCAGTAATATCCTCATGCTTAATTTCACACTTCAATATAAATCGCGTCACATTCAGCTTGGAAATAAATTTATTCGATATCATGGGTCATCTTATAATCACTGCTGCATTACGATTCTTGCACATTCTGCACATTTTTCTCCTGAAAAACAAGATACATTTTTTATCCATATCTCAAATATTAAAGATCCGTTTTTTTTTATAGATGAATTAAGCCACTCAACGAATCTTTCTTTAGATGATGTCAAAAGCGAGAAAACATAATAAAAATTCTTGCAAAATGTATTTATTGTAAATAGAATTACTTTTTAATGAAACAATATTTGCATTTAATGAAGTACACTTCTAACGTATCGAAAATTCTTTTTCTATTTCAGAATAGAATACAATTATTTATCTCAATTTGACAGCTGTTATATGTCTTGTTTCGTTTTTTATAATAAATAGGCATAATTCAATTTTAAATATATGGTTATTTATTGATTAGGGAAATATACGAAAAGTCTTCGGTATATTTTACGAATCTATTCTATTGAATTGCAAATGTTTCATTTTTAAATATCACATTTTAATATAATTTGCAATAATTTTCTTTATGTAGTTTTCTCACTTCTGACATGTGCATGCCCGAAAATGAGCTACAGTAGATAAGCATTAGGACCGATAGAAGTCTTATTATTAGTGAAAAAGATGTATATCTATGTTTGAAATTTGGCGAAAACAAGAAGGAAAGTTTTAGTATATGTCTAGTACAGCGATAGAACAAACTTTAAAAATTCCTTCATTCTCGTTACAGATTGAGTGAGCAACAGCTTGACGCAAGAAGACGCGGTCTGGAGCAATATTTGGAGAAAGTCTGCGCAGTACGCGTAATAGCAGAAAGCGATGCCATGCAAGAATTTTTGACAGATCGACTGGAGGAGGATGGCGATCAAGGTCCAGCAGTTGATCTCAAAGTTCTATTACCTGATCGCGAAGTCGTAACCGTGACTGTTCCCAAGGCAGCATCCGTGAAAGACGTCTACGATGCAGTTTGTTGTCGAGTAGGTTTAGATGCAGAAACCGCGAAGTACTTTTACCTGTTCGAGATTGTCGAGTACAATTTCGGTATGTACCAACATCGTTTGTCATCTCTTATAAATTCTGAGTAAATTTGCCGAACTTGTCTACAATTTAACACAACCATTGTATTGTAGAGAGAAAGTTGCAACCTCACGAACACCCGCATACTTTGTATATTCAAAATTATTCGACTGCCAGCGCAACGTGTTTGGCAATAAGGAGGTGGCTTTTCAATGTAAATAGGCCTCTGAACGAGCAGGCATTGACTTGGGTATTTTGGCAGACGATCGACGAAGTGAACAGGGGTCATATAACTGCGGGAGAAAGGCTGTATCAATTGAAAGCTCTACAGGATGCATCGAGAAAACACGAGGTTTGTATACTGAAGATCGCTTACAGATCATAGATTAACAATACCGTTGCGTTTAATGACATGAAATGTAACATTGGATTTGCGTAGTATCTGAAATTAGCGAGAGAACTCAGTGGGTACGGCGACATTGTGTTTCCACATTGCGCGTGCGACTCAAGAAAAGAGGGCCACGTGATACCAGCAGTGGGCATGGCAACTTTCAAGTTGCACGCCGCGAAGGAGGACGGTACCCTGGAGTCACAGGTGGTCGAGTTTCAATGGAGCAACATCACCCGGTGGGAAGTGGACGAAGATGGAATGGCATTCTGCTTCCAATACATGCGCCAGGATAATCGTCCACCCCGTTGGCTCAAGGTCTTCACCCCTTACGTAAGTACTCGATATAATTTTTTCACGGATCAATTCACGACTGCGAACATAGATGTGATAGATATAGATTGTGCATTCTCTCTTATCTTAGCTTCTAGTTAAAAAGAATTAAATGTATTAACATCTGTTTTCAACTCTATCAGCATTTTTTTTCAACTCGATACCTTAAAGAGAAATTATAAAAGCAAAGTAAAAATCATAAAAAGAATATGTACAAAAATAAGTAAATTAATTAAAAGGAAGAAATATATTGCACAAGAAAAAGATATAAATTTAAAATAGAGAAGAAATATACGAAAATAAATACAAAATATGTATACGTAAAACAAATATATAAAATAAAAAGAGAGAGAGACAGAAAAATATGCATCAATTTCCTGACTCTTTCTAAACGATAGTGAAACAACTTTATAGGAATATGCAGTTTATTCTTATTACATCAATGACTGCGACATGCATAATTTTACGCGAGAATTCGCTATTCGATTTATTACCCAGATAATGTTGTACTTGCAGTATACGTTCCTCTCGGATTGTTTCGACCGAATAGCCGAAGAAGCAAAATGGGACGATCCAGGGGAATGACGTAACGTACAACGCTAAGAGGTATCCTGTGTATAACGTTGAGGATCCTTTTACGGGATATCTCGTACTCGTCTCTCCGTAGTCGAAATCTTTTCTTACTAGAATTAGGGCAATCTTTAGAAACGGTTAACGTAGTACCTTTAGCATATCAAATTTTCCATCTGTTAGCTTTGCCGAACATTTCCAGCATTATGCACCGATAGAGGGTTTGTCCACCATCATCATCGGAAAAGCCAAACGCGAATGTGGATACATATACATTTTGGTGGACCAATGCTGTTACCAGAGAAACAAAATTAGATGAATTACTGCGACGTGCTCGCAAGTAATCTCGATCGAGACCGGAACGTGATAAATAAATTTAAACTCAGATATTTATTATTGATGCCACGCTCGTCCACAATCTAGTGAAGGAATCTCGACGTAAACCGGTATTCATAGTTTGTTATTATTTCAAGAACGTGTTAAGTAATGTCTTAAAATGCTAATAAGGTCCTCTTATTAATTCGTTACATCTTAAGACTACACTTAAGACAGTCTTAAATATAAAAATTATCTATGAATACATAGCTTGAATTTAGTGCGCAAGAAAATCAACCTGGTTTTGTGCATCGATATAGCTGGGACTTTTGTTTCGTCGATGAAACACGTGCCGTTTTTTTTTTCTTTATTACAATGAACAAAATCGCGCACGCGATGATATATAAGAGAATTACGTTAGTGTACAGATACGTAGACTATTACTACGGGGATATGATCGTGTCCGCCTAGAGAAACCTATCCTTGTGGCCTATGAATTATTATGTATACAGCACGCAACTCATTTTCTAACAAGAAAATCGATCGTCTTACGTAAAACGTTCCTCCTTGTTCGCCTAACAGACTCGAAACTCTCTTTCATTGGATCTACGTATCGATCATGCGTTTAAATAAAATAACTGAAATAATACCCTGTGCATTTTCTAATGTGCAATATTTTATAAATCAATGATAATCTGTCAATTCGTTACGCAGGATATTTTAAAACGAGAGACGCCGCTTTCGCACATTTATAAAAAAAATCTCAATAGTATCGACAGCGCGTCCAATTTATCGCTGTAGTAGGTTTCATCGTTTGCAATGAAAAATTTGTATAATGAGAAGTACCAGAGATCTGGGACGTCTAAGAAAACAGAAGAAGTAGATACATATCATATCCATTGACAGTTTTATTATAAGCAAACCCGAATACTTGTTTCCTTTCTTCTTTTAAACTATCCTGTGTAACAAACGAATTCCTAATACACGCGTGGCTACGGCAGGTACCACGTGTCCCGTAATCGATATGTAAATGTATCGATCAGTCCTCTACACATTTTGTTAATTCATTAGTATGTATAGCGTATTAGAGTTAATAAGGAATAGAACAAACTGTACATATTAACGTTAAAAATATATACTTTTTGAGAAGAAACTCAGTTGTGTATGTGTGTGTGTATGCGTTTTGATAAGATTGATAATTACTTGATTGCAAGAACATTAATTATAACTGCGTGTCACGTTGTGCTGAAAACGAAACAACATTCTGATTATTCCGCAAAATTATGAGCGTGAATTGCAAGTAAATTGGAGGATTGTAATAACAATCGTGAACTATTTTTAAATCGATGTTCTCGATTGAGAAACTTTATCCTGAGCTACTTCCCTTTAATGAATTTATAAAGATACTGTACAATAGAAAATGCGGCATTAATGCTCATCTCGCGATTATATAAGTATGTACGGAATTTAGGCATAAATTCTAAGCAAAATCGTAAGACTCGTAATATTGTATTCTCCTAAGACTCATAAGAATTTTTAAGTGCTTAAACCTTTATTCAATATCTTTACAGCTTCTTACTATAGCCAGATTTACAAGAAATCGTAGATTACAATTATACGTCATATATATTAAATTAGAATACTAGTCATAAGTTCTTACAAGTTTGACAAGAACAAATTACAAGTCTTACGATTCTGTTTAGAATTGATCTATTAGTAAAAGGGGAAGAAAAACATAAAAACTTGGAACAATAACGCAATAAGGTCACGTGGTTTCCCCTACTACCTTATACACGAAAGAAGAATAATAATACTCACTAATAATGTTAAAAGAGATATTGATTAATAATAACTGCAAAAGTAAGAAAAAACATAAAGATAACGTTAGCACTACTTTACGCGTCACACGGGATTTTGCAGAAGGCCGTAATACGCGTTTTGGCATTATATCCACTTATAAAAAGCGAATATTTGGAGCGAGTTCTCTCTTGCACATTATTCTCATGATCAGTCGTTTCCTCTCTTTATTTGTTCTTCTTTTCCGTTCCTACGTGTATGCATTCTGCCTTCTCGCAGTGCTTAAATTCACTCGTTCTAAACATGTCGCTTACTTAACTGCGAGCAGTTCTAACAGATAATAAATAGAAAAAAAGATAAATATATTATTACCGTTAATGTTTTTAAACTTTATTCATGGAATATCGAGCGCATGTAGTGAATGAGAAATGTATATGACAATGTAAAGTCCGAATGGTGAGAGGAGAAAAAAAAATATATATATATCATACTTACGACAGAGCATAGTTATGATACTGTTAATGATAATAGAAATATGGAACATAATATAGCATAATTATATAATCCAACGCGCGAGTATCCGAATGAACACACATACGAATTGATCGACATACGATGTGATATATTCGCGCATGCACCTAGCTATTCGGTCGAGTGAACAAGACAGTTACAAAATAATGGTTTCTATTGTTTTATCGAGAGAAAAGAGAGGGGGGGGGGGTAAAGTTTTTCAAAGAAACTGTGCAAAGTGATCTATGAATTAGTTAGCAATACGTACGTCCGAAAATGTTATTATCGCTGATAAATATACCTTCGGTATGAACCTTCGGGTGATCATTTAACATTTTATAATTTAGCATCTGCAAACGAAAGAATATATAATTAACTGTACGGTTCTGTGTTAAATAATGTACCTAATAATACTTCCGCGCGATATTTCTGATCTTTTTGATCAGGTGATATCGTTGAAATATGAGAAACTTGAAGGTCTCATTGGTATTGTATTACCGACAGCAGAAAGATTCTCTCGGACCTTTCGTGTTTTATTGATCGGTGGAAGTAATCGGACGAATAATTTTCGGATTGGAAGAAAAAATCTGTGGCATCTCGGAGTAGCCACGTATTCGAAGAATGGCAATAATATTTATAAAAGAAACTGCGTGTGTGTTAATTGGTAGAGTTAATTGGTAGTGAATATTTTTTTCGAGAAAATCGGAGTGATCGCAGAGATACGTCCAAGTCGAATTTGTGACTTCTGATGCGAAAGATCTGAAAATAGTCGGATGTCTTGTACAGTTTTGTACAATTATCTTTACTTGCAGTATTTTTATTATGAGTCGATCATTGCCTTATTGCAGCTTTAGTGTCGTAAGTTGAACGAAAATTGTCTTTCATTTCGAGCTGTTCGATAAAAATTTTGCTTGTTTTATTTTTGTCGCTTTTGCGAAAAGTTTGAAAACCAGAAAAATTCTAATTTGTTAAACTGTTTATTATCTCGTTAATTAGCGTGTTAACGAGCCTGTCAAACACAGAATAGCAAATTAGGTAGTATAATTTAATTATTGTTATTACATGACCATATCATTACAGTTAACTCTTTAGGCGTTAATTAAAATATTCTGTATAATCATAGTACGTAATAACAAATGCTCCAATTTATCGTATAACATCAGTTCGCGAAACATTTGCTGTAAAACTAGTATTTCGAATTAGCGAAAGAAGTATTATTCGGTTTCTTTATAAGCCATCTTATTGAGAAGCATATAATAAAAACAGAAAAAAATAGAACTCTCATTTCTGTTTTTTTTTAATGACGCATCCTACCTATTATTATAATTATTATAATTATTATGCATATCATAGATAAAGCAATGTGATAGATACAATCCGTACAATATAATTGTCATTTCGTAACGAGAGTAAAAAAATTTCAAATACATACATATATCTGATGACGTAAAACACATTCATACATACAAGCAAATAATAGAGGCCATCAAGATAGAACAACGCTGCTGCTTTATTCAGTGTCTGTGGAAAAGGAAAATCGTCCAGGTAGGATTTCAAAAATGTTCATCGCAAAATAGAGTTCTCAATAAAAATACTGTGTCGCTCTTTTTTCCATTAACTTTCTGTGCTCCCAGAAGCGTATAACAAAAACAGAAGAAATAGGTATCTTGTTTATATCTTTCTTAATTATGTGTCCTACCTATTATCACTATAATTACGCATATCATGAATAAAATAAGGGTGCGTTTATGTTAGAGCAGTGATAAAAACTATAAACGCGGCGATAAGAGCAGCGATAAAAACTAATCAAACCTATTTTGCTTTAATATGTTTTTCATTACGTGCACGCGTGATGAAAAATTCTATGTGTTGCGAGTGGGGGCATATTTGTTTATAGGTCGGCACTCGCTTCGCTCGTGCGCTCGCGCCCGTCCCGCGCTATAAGTCCCCCACTGTTACACAATGTACTATTATAATAGAGCTATATGATAACAGTATATTTCCAGGTTTCAACTGAGGTGAATCGTCTTCAAAAGTGAGTGATTCAAAAGAAGAATTATTACTATCTTCAAAACTACAAAATTTTTTAATTAAGTAACGTGTAATGGTAATGAGTTATTTTTTATAAAAAGTAACTCTAACGATAATGCATTACTTTGTTAAGGTAATGTTCTCAACTCTGGATTTCAGATTAGTTTATCTCTGAAACTGAGTGTTGTGTGCTATGAGAAAGCAGCTTATTTCGACCGATATTCATAGTCGAGTTCTATATTTAAGATTGTCTTAGATTGTCCGGATCTACAATAAATGTTTTAAACCGTAAGAAATTGACCAATTACAGTCAAATACGAGGAGACTGTAATTCGTTCATTTCTTATGGTATAAGGCTTAAAAATCTATTGTATAGATCCGGGTTACATAAGTACAATCTTAAGATGTCATGAGCCAATGAGAGGGCCGTATTAGCATCATAAAATATTATTTATCATAAGATGGTCTTGAAATAAGAACGGATTATAAATACCGGCTTATAAAGTGAGAAGTAAGAACAGCAATAGGCAAGAATACCGACACTTTAATTTCAAGACCAAAACTATAAATCTTAAACTATAAACAACACTGCTATAATCAATGAGAGCGTAGAAATTAAACATTTTCTTTCTCTACGCTCTTATCGCTGGTCGACTACAAAGCTTCGCTCTGCTTTAATATAAACACTTACATGGAAATCAATGCATTTATTTTTACAGCTCCGCTAGTATCGTTGCTCTTATTGTCTACCACTGCTCTTACATAAACGAACCCTAACGTGTACAATTTTCAAATATAAAATCAAACAATTTTGATTCACGGACAAATTAACAATAGGCTTTCATATAAAAGCATCAGTTCACGAATACCACGACAGAGATTAAAATTCGCGTTGGAAATATTCCGGTGGAATACCGCCATGTGGTCCAATAAAGGAGGATAACGCACGCCGTTCTCCAAATTATAATTACAGTAATACTATATCGGATTAATAAAGTCCCCGGTCATAAACTATATAAGCACAAATAAACTCGTAACTGGTCGTGTATTCGCAAGATTATCATATACGCGCGCCAGTGTACAAAGTGGTGTACACATTCTACGTAATATATCTTTGTAATTGGTGTATGCAGGTCTCGCATGTGCACGCGACCTCGTATATACGATACTGATACATACAAGACGGTCTGAGAAGATATCGCTAAGTGGCCGCCGATATACGGTACGACAGATCAGTTTAAGTCCACCTGCCCCTCAAGGTGGAACTCCTTCGTAGAAAAATCGTTTATCGGTGATCGCGAATTTGGTCCAAACGCCGGCTTGATATTGAGAATAGCTGACAGAATTGTTATAGTCCGAAAAAAATGGATCGTGTTAAAAGAAAGAGAAAGAAGACAGGTAGTGAAAAGGTAGCTGTTTAAATCAAATTTTATATGCGTGTGAATTCCTTAAAAAATTTAATTAATATTTCAAATATTAAAATCCAAATAATTTCTTTTAAATACTAAAATTTAAAAGATTAAATTTATTTTCAAATATTAAAATTTACAATATTAAACTTATTTTTTAGCCTTACAATTATTTGTTTAACCTTACAATACAGAAAATTTAAAACCATCTTTATTTTTGTCCTCTCTGTTATCATAATAACTTATGTAATTATATTCTATATAATTAAATGGAAACTTTTCTTGTTTTTAAAAAGTTTACATTTGTAATAATTGTCATAATTTTTATAATTCTTCCTCTAAGCAATAAATCTTCTCTCTATATAGTAAACGATTCAATTTTATTTGAATTTAAAAAATGTATAAAATTTATAAAA